TTTGAAGAAAAGAAACAAAAGAGGTTAAGACTAATTTAAGAAAAGGAACCAACATATTAGGGATTCAAGGCAAGTAAGTTAAAAAGGCAGCATCAACACTGTTATACATGCATAAGCAAAAAAAAGTAAAACTTTAGGCCTTTATGTTTAATAAATATAAACTGGTAACACTGAGGAAAGCAATTTTGGTTGTAATTACATTACAAGGAAGAAATTCTATTACAAGACATTAAGAAGTAAATGGTTGAGGGCAAATGAACAAAATATTAAAGTCTGACTACTATTCCCAAGATTTACCAGTGACAGGAACAGAAAGCTAGCAAGAAAGGGACTAGAAGCATGATATTATTTTTTGTTTTCTGTTTTGCTATTATTGCTGACTCTTCAAAAAGAATGGGAAATTGACTTACTATGCCAAAAGGAAAGGTCAAAGAAAGCATAAATAATCAAAAGTTCAGGAGTAAAAAGATCATTTAGCAAACCTAAAAGAAAACTCTTCCTATCAGACAGGAATAAAAATAATTTTAATGTGGTGAGAAAGGTGTAGTAACAAGCACAGGTGAAGAGGAGTATACTACAAAAACTTCAAAGATGTTTATTTCTTAAACTCTGTAAAGCACTGATAACCACAATGCTTTAGAACTTTGTACTTTCACAATAGCAGCCAGTACTATGAAAATGTAATAGTACAGAAGGATATAAAGTAACAGAAAACACTAGGATGCCACATTGTGTAGTAGTAAATTAAGAAAATGCACTTGGCTCTAGCGTCAAAAAGACTTAGTTTAAATCACTGTAGGCAAATATCTCAACTTCATGCTTCAGTGCCTCAGTATCATCACCTGCAAAATGGAGATAACAATGCTTACCTTATAAAACTTGTAAGTACAGTAATACAAAATGTTTAGCAACAATGCATACAGTTTAGGTGGCAGCCACAGCAGGAGCTCTGGTGATAATTCCAACAGTAGCAACAGTAGCAATGTAACCTATCTGTGTTTAAATCAACCAATATCTAAGACAGGAGGGAAGGGCAAGGCTCTCAAACATGGGTCCCATTCAACCTTTTCAAGGACAGACGGAAACAGTATAATTCTTCCTATCATACCAATAAGGAAAGGGGAGGTTCCTTTGCTTAGACAGCTAATAAATGGCAGAAGTGAGATTTGAATACTGATCTATGTGGACACAGAGCTCTTCTTTCCACCACATACTTCCTCCACAGCGCTGCACAGTAGCAGAAGAACAACATTAAGCATTTTGTTTTTTACTACTCAACTTACAAACCCTGAGTATGTCATTACATCCATCTGCCTCTCAATTTTATTTTCTAAAAAATTAAAAGTTTCATTAGCTTTTGAGGTGTCTCTTCAGATTAAGAAAAAAAAAATCCATGACTTTGATGTGTAAGTCCACCTAAAAGTTTTAAAATATAATAGAAAATGTTTTCTGGTTTTTTTTACATTTACTACAACAGAAGAACTTAATTTTTTTTCAAGACTTAACATCAAAACAAAATGTTAGAAGACTAACATTTAGTTTCATATTAGCAAGTATGACTAAGCAAATGTTTGAGATAACAAAATATCAATCTTAAGTATTTCAAGTTAACAATTTTAATGAAGTTCAAAATTTTCAATTTATGAAAAAGACATTGAAAATTATTTTCAGCTTATGAAACTCAGAACCCTGATACATGTACAGAAGCTATGAAACAGTAAAATACAGATATGCAGACTTCTATTTCATGCTGAAAATGCAGCCAGGCCTTTTTTTAAAAAAACATCAATCTGAAAACTCTCTTGCCCTAAAACCCTTCACTGGCTCCCCACTATCCTTCAATAACATCCAAAATCTTAAACATGACTCAACAAAGTCCTGTGTGCTCTGGCTCCTTTCTCCAGAGCTTTTCACAGCCATTCTTCTCCCTTGCTTTTTTCTATTTCTTTCAATTCCTCCAAGACACCTTTCCGTGTTCATTTTTAGGACCTCCATACAATCTGTTCGCCAAACCTACAATGCTTTCACAGGTCTCCAATCCCATCCTTTTGCCCCAGCAAAGTGTTCTTCATTCTTCCGAGCTGAGATAAATATTACACCAGGGAACTGTTTCCTGACTTTCCCAGACTTCAACACCTATCTTCCCTGCTAAATGGTAAATGAAATTAAGAGAGTCATTTCACATCTTGTTACCTACTATTTCCCCAGTATCTTGCACACTGCCTAGCACAGAGTAGGTAAAGTACTCTTAAAATAAAAGTTTGCTGAATTAACACATTTAAAATGTGGGTAAATCCAAAATCATTAAGTATTTAACCAGCACAGGTAACTAAAAAGTTCTACATAAGTTTCAAGTTACAGCTTACCCTTGGTCCTTTTTATGTTCCTCTCTCAAACACAGGAATTCAGCAATTACAATGTTAAAGCCAAAAAAAAAAAAAAAAAAATCCTTTCAGATAACAGATCATAAAGTTTCACAAAACCAAGGTTAGAAACCACTGATCTTAAATAATTAGAATCAGCTTTTGTAAGTCGTCATACAAAAGAAATCCACCTGAAATGCAATTAAAGGGACAGGAACTCGGATAAGGGCTCAATTTTACCACAGCTACATACATCAGAAGAGAACCAATTACAATTCCCAGTGTCTAGGCTCTACTAGCAGCACCTTATTTATGACAACACTAATGACTGCAGTGCTACAGCCATCCGAGAGTAGGCTTTATAATACATGGATACGTTTTACTAAGACTAAAGACAAATTACAAGCAAACACTCTAAGTGGCTATAGTCTTCTCATTTAGGTAAGGCAGTAAATCTGATATGAAACTGAATGCTTAAAGGAAAGTTATTTCAATCCAAAACATTTTTATAATTGTGTTCAACTAGTAACTACTGAATGCTAATTACATATTAGGCACTATTCTAACATTTCCTTTATATTCATTATTTTCCCAATTTTACAGTTGAGAAAATGGAAGCCATGAGTTAAGTAACTTACCCAATATCATACAGCTGGTTAAGTTGCAGGGGCAGAATTCAAAGCCAGACATTCTGCTCCAGAGTTCTCCTCTCACCCCGACATACTATGATGCCCACTCTCCAATACACTTAAGTAGGGCTTCATTTGCACAACTCCACTCCAGTGAAACTATTTTGCTAATAAAACCAATGACTTCCAGTTTGCTAAATCTAAGGGCTACTTAATTGCCTCCATTTTTTTCATCCATTCTGCAGCATTTCATAAACTCCTCTCTTTTGTCATACACTTGTTCTTTAATGACATAAAGCCCAGTTTTCATCCTGCCCCAGTACTAGGCCCTCTTCTCTTCCCTATCTACACACTGTTCCTAAGAAATGTCCCACAATTTCATGGTTTGCATGACTATCTGATGACTTGATTTCTCTAGTCCCGCTCTGAGTTTTAGATTACTCATATGTTGAATGATATGACATCACACTTGGATGTATCTCACAGACTTCATACATAATAATCAAAACTAGCCACTCCCTTTCTTTCTCCCCTTAACCTGTTCTCTGTCTTCTCTACTATAACCCATTCAGTTGCTTAAGCTAAGTTCTTAGGCATCATCCTTGATTTCCCTTTCCCTCATCCCTCCACATTTAATCCATTAGCAAATTCTATCAGATTTACTTATGAAACGTATTTGGATCTGCCTATCTCCACCACGACTCTAATGCAAACTAGCCACATCTCTGCTTACAATACCCTTCTAAATAGTCTCCTTACTTCCATTTTTGCCGTCTCAGTCTCTACAAAATGGGCAGAGGTAAAACAAAATTAAATCAGTCCTTGTTTGCTTTAAATCATCTCAGGACTTCCCATACACGTTGTGGCCCCTACCTACTTGTCCAAACTCATGTCTTTACATTCTCTCCCTCATCACAAGGTTTCTTCCAGCCACTATGGCCTTTTCTTCCTGAAACACACCACAATAATTTCTGCTACAGAGCCTTTCATTTGCTCTTCCTTTTGCAAGGAATGTTCTTTTCCAAGACTTTCACACAGATGGTCCCTTCTCCTCCTCAGACGTTGTTCCAAAGTCACCTTCTCTAAGAGCCCCACTCTTAATCACTGTTTTACACGATTCTCTATTATTACAATAGTCGCAGCTCTAATATCTGGATTTATTTATGTCTTGTAGATTTTAGAATTTAAAAGCTCTATCCCAAAGCCTCCCGCAATAAGTTTATTAAACAAGTGAATTTCCCCATTGCATTATTTATTGTAAATCAATTCTCATAAAGTACTTGGCTCATGATATATTTTGTATTAACAAGTCCTCAAAACACTCCTTAAATTTTCCAATCTGAGACTATATCAGCACTCTAACCACCCCCCAACACAAAATCTATCTATAGCATTCCACTTAAAACTGTTAAATATTCCATATGGATGAAGATTGAATTTTCTTCCTCCTCTCCAAGCCAACTAACGTGTAGGCGGGAAAGGGGAATTTCACTGGGCAACTCAGCACCTGTTACATCTTGAATCAGTGAAGAGAGGTGCAGATGAGCCAGACAGCACAAGGAAGACGTGGCCTTGCTTTCATGGATTGTATTTAGGTGAAACGTGAGTGATTTAAGATAGAACTGCCCGAATCCCTCATAAAGTCTGTTCACTTCATTTACAAAAGGAAGGTAAAAGTCTGTAGGCAGGAAAAGATATATTCGGTTCCACTACAAGAAACCGATTTTGAGGCCCTCGGAAAATATTTGGGGAGTGGGGGCGGTTGGAGTCGGTCTACATATAACGGAAAAATAAGACCAGCTCAGCAATAAAATAAAGCTCGACTCAGGCTCTAAGGGGTATCTTGAACCTGGAAGCGAGGTGGACGAAGAGGAGAAGCCACAGAGCCCTGGTACCTCCGTTCATCGCTTCGGCCTCCACCGCAGGCACTTGGAGAAACTGCACAGATCTGTGGGTCCGCCTATCTCCCACCGCCATCCCTGCATAGAGGTATCCCCCGGATACTCACATGGGCTCGAGAGTCTTGCTGAGCCAGGACTTGAGTGCCTCGAAGTTTTCAATGATCATTTTAGAAACCATCCACAGCGGCCCTAAGGCCCGTCACACTCCTCCGCCCGCCCAGGTCGCGGCCGCTACAGCCGCTGCTGCCCCCGCCCCCTCCTCCGCGCGCCGCCCGCGTGGGCCGCGGTGGGAGGCGCCGGTGGCAGGCTCCCGCGGGCCCCGGTCGGCGAACAGCTCTGCAGGGACCGCCGCAGGCCTCAAGTCCACGGGACGCCAGGAGCTCCGAGTCCCCGGACCCCCGTCCGGGCTGAAGCAGCAACGGTTTGCCCGGGCCCTCCCCCTTTCCTCTTCCCCAGCAAATTTATCCTGACCGGAAGCGCGACACGCGCTTAGACCCGGGCGTTCTCTCAGCCTCGGGACTAGGTGCTTGTTGGCTACGTCGAAAAGGCAAAAGTAAAGAAAGCGAAGGCGAAGGGCAGCTCAATGGGAACGATTCAGGGGGTCTTCCCGGCTCCCAGTACCCCCAAGAAGATGGCTGCCGATAAATCTCGCGAGAATTGTTGAAGTCTCGCGGTGGCTCCCGGTGCCTACTGGGAAAGACGTAAGGTCGGTAGAGAATGCGCGGGTCGAGTTCGATTTTTTGCGTGTGCGCGTTGCTTGCGGCCTTTTTGCCTTTTTATTCTTTGCTTACCTTTATGATATAAACACCTGATTTCTTACAAGAAAGGAAAGACCGCTGACTTCAGAAACAGCGGGCAGGGGCATAGCTCAGTGGTAGAGCATTTGACTGCAAAAACAGCAGGAGCCCCAGCTCGTCAGCGGTAAGACGGCCGTGGCATAACCGCTGGAACGAACTACCGGGTGGATTGCTCCTTGAGAGCGTCCATACTCGCGTGCGCGACATAGAGCGGCCCGTAGGTTCCAGGTGCCAAGCGCGCTACTTCTTCAGTTTATCTAAGTGCCCTACCAGTACCATATTCTGTGTACGCTGTGATGTGGACGAGGTTTGTAAACAGGCTAATCTAATGGAGCCCAGTGAGACCTCCAGAGGATTTGTGTCCTGTCCAATAGTACTCGACTTGTTGGTAGAGCCCTAATGACTCAGGAGTGCCACAAGAGAAAAGTGAGAGAACCTTCGTATCTCTCAGGTAGTTTCCAGCCTGCACTTTCCCCCAGCTAAAGATAAGTTTTGTTATTTTTAAAATTGTTTATTTAGAACAAATTCAGCTCTATCTCAGATCAGGAAATTATATAGTATCAAAAAGAGAGAGAGTCTTCATATCAGCAACCTCAATAAACTATTTTCCTGGGTGATCAAATAAGTTTGATTCCTGCCTGAATTCTATTTAGCTACTAAGTGGAATTTTACAAAGGGTTTATGGTCCATGAACTGTAGTGGAATGAAAATATTCACAATCTAAATACACTTTCAGTAAGTAGATCAATAAAACTCTTTATGGGAGACACTGATAGACTATATTCTTAGGATCTCTGAGTTTATAATTTGCTAGCATGAGGTATCCTTAAGGATTAAGTGGAAAGATTATAAAATACAAAGCTAGACATTTGTTTTAAAATATAGCATATAGAGTAGAATACAAATTAGAATCCAGCTAACTGAATAACCAGGGTGTTGATCAAAGTGATTTAGCTAAGTGAAATAAACCAGACATGAAAGGACAAATATTATGATTCCACTTACATGAAGTATCTAGAGTGGTCAACACTAGAGACAGAAGGTGGAATGGTAGCAGGAACAGGGGTAAAGAGGGTGCCCAGCAGAAGGGGAAATGAGTTATTTTTCAGTGGATATAGAGTTTCAGTTTGGGATAATTTAGGCTCTGGAGATAAGTGGTGGTGTTGGTTGCAAAATATGAGTGTACTTAATGCCAGTGGACCATATACTTAAAATGATGAAAATGGTAGGTTTTATATGTATTTTACAATAAAAATTATTTATAAATTTAATATTGCTGAAAGGTAAAATCATAATTGTTTAGTCTGTTTGTTGTAACCTTGCCACAGGCTGGCACCACCAATATTTTCAGCTTTATCACCAGCAATTATATGACTCTGGCTCTCCACTCAACCTTTCAAAGTGTCTATCAAATACTATATACCCCAGGTAAACTGATTTGCTCACCCCCCCTTTCTCCAAACATTTGTCCACATTATTTTCTACAGAGAACACTTCTACTTCTTTCCCTGACTGCTCAAGTTTTGCCCGTCCATCTCTGATACCACTGTCACTGTCTTATTTAAAGTCTTATTCTTCCTAAATAATCGCAAAAGCTCACTCTATCACCAGGCTGGAGTGCAGTGGTGTGATCTCGGCTCGTTGCAACCTCTGCCTTCCAGGCTCAAGTGATTCTCCTGCCTCAGCCTCCCAAGTAGCTGGGACTACAGGTACGTGCCACCACGCCCAGCTGATTTTTGTATTTTTTAGTAGAGAGGGGATTTCACCATGTTGGCCAGGATGGTCTTGATCTCCTGACCTTGTGATCTGCCCGCCTCGGCCTCCCAAAGTGCTGGGATTACAGGCCTGAGCCACTGCACCCAGCCGCAAAAGCTTTTTAATATCTTTGCCTTTTATGCTGACCTCCATCTCAGTTGATCTTCACCTGCCCTCATCATCATTGCCTTTAATAGCAATAATTCTAAAATTTGGATCTAATCATGTCGCTTTCTTGTTTAAAATCTTCATCAACTTTCACATTATCTTTAGAATAAAACAAATTATTTAATATCCTATAAAGGGACTTTCATAAATCAGACACCTTCCTTTTTGCCTAGAAACTCCTTTCAGTGCCTTTCAGTCTTTGCTCCAGTCATCCTAAACTATTTTGAGTTCCTTGAAAGAAGCTGTTCCATGAAAAGACCCTTTATGCAAAGTGCCCCCAAATATTGAAGGAGAAATCAAATGAACGAGGCAGACAAATCCAGTTTGGTCAGTAAAGAGCGTTTTGTTGGGAGCAACTTACAGACAGAGCATGGTCTTGAGTGGCAGCAAGACAGGTAGATCTCTGCCCTATTACTCCCCAGACCAGTACTTACATGCCATAAGGAAAGGATGTAGTACTCTATAGAGACATTTAAAGGCCACCCTCCAGACAGGCAAGAATTCTATTTGCATCCTAACCTGTAATTTGTGTGATAACCTCAGGGTTGCTTTGTTCTTACACTAAGGACAGTAAATAAAGTAATAATCAGGAGGCATTCACAGGATGGGCTAATCAGAAGTCACCATGGCAGATTAGCATTTAAGATGGAGTAAACTTTTGTCTCCACAGAAGTGTGTTCTCTCACTAAACTGAGCCATAGCAAAATGTGTTTTTCTACCTTTAGTTTGATGGATTCCCACATATCCATCAAAATGCAGTGCATACTGCTGCCTTTGGAAATCTGTCCTTGACCTCCCTTCTCTAAAGCAAGAGTCCGTTTGAAATTTTCCAACATCAGCCTGTGCTTGCTTCTTTTATAGTACTTATTTTAAATTTATTTTAAAATAAAGCTTTATTTTTGCCATTAGGTGATTATCTGTTCTTTAGTAGATTATAGCTTTGAATCCCCTGCTTCAGGAATAGCTGCGAATATATACAGCCAATTCATATTCAAGGTGGTTGTGTTCTATAAAAGAGCCACAAATGCTGAATTACTGAATATGGAACCATTGTTCCTAGGAGTAATACCAGGATTAGGTTCCTTCAAGCCTCTTATCAAATTTTTGTCAACCGGTCCATAAATATCTTATGTGTATTTCTTTTTAAAGCACCTTATGCAGGAAAAATAAGAATTTAAAGGCACCTTATTTAATATAGTTGATTTATTAACATTGAACTCGTAGCCAGTAACTATGATGTATGTGTTTCCTCATTAAAAAGAAAGAGGAGCCTTCTGGCACTTAACCTGGATAGCCTCATCACTACATTTGGGGGTCATTTTAAACAGTGAAATCACAAAAAGCTAAAAATGCAGCAAATATGGCACTAAATAGACCATGAAAAGGACACTTGTTTCCAGTGTGAGAGCTAAAAGGATACTTGTTTCCAGTGTGAGAGCTAAAACAAGGAGATGCTCTGCATCCCCTTGTTTGACCAAAGCTGGGAACACGTGCATCAGGTGACTCAAATTTTTTGCCTCTGTTCATGTCAACAAATGACTGCAAAAGCATTGCAAATATTGATTTAGGTGTTGCAAATAAATTCTAGCAAGTAGCCAAATTCACAAATACAGAATCTGCAAGTAAAAGGATCAACTATATTCGAATAGATGAGAGAGCTGGAAGAAACCTGGGGAGGAGTTGAATATAGTCTTATTACTTTTAATAGTGCTTTTGAGGTCTTATTTAAAAACAGTCTGCATGTCCAGATCACAAAGATATTCTGTATTTTCTTTGATTTCTTTTACAGTCCATTACTCTACTTAGAATTACACTTAAGTCTTTATTTTGTCTGTAATACAGACTGTGGTATAAAGTGAGGACCTAGGCCATTTTTTTCCTATAAGTCTACTCAGTTTATTCCTTCCTGTTGATTTTTGGCTCACTGCAACCTCCACCTCCCAGGTTCAAGCAATTCTGCCTCAGCCTCCCAAGTAGCTGGGACTACAGGCACATAACACCATGCCCAGCTAATTAGAGATGGGGTTTCACCATGTTGGCTAGGATAGTCTTGAACTCCTGGCCTCAAGTGATCTGCCCACCTCAGCCTCCTAAAGTGTTGGAAGTACAGGCATGAGTGCAGCCTCCTTTCTGTTGATTTTTGATGCCACTTATATCTTTGTGTTTTTATTTCATTTGTGTTCTGCTTCTGACCTATTTTTCAATTGGTCAATTTGTCTATTACTACACCAGTATCATGTTGTTTTTATTTACTATTGTATTACTGAATATTAACATATAATAAGGCAAATTCCTCCTCTTTGCTCTTTTTCAGATTTAGCTTGGCTAAATTTGAACCTTGGTCTCGCACAGTGGTTCACACCTCTTATCTCAGCACTTTGGGAAGCCAAGGCAGGCAGATCACTTGAGGTCAGGAGTTCAAGACCAGCCTGGCCAACATAGTGAAACCCCATCTCTACTAAAAATACAAAAATTAGCCAAGCATGTTGGCGCACACCTGTAGTCTAAGCTACTTGGGAGGCTGAGGTGGGAGAATCTCTTGAACTTGGGAAGTGCAGGTTGCAGTGAGCCAAGACTATACCACCACATTTTAGCCTAGGCGACTGAGTGAAACTATTTATTTATCTAAATAAATAAATAAATAAATGTGAACCTTTAGTTTTCCAAATACATAGAACAAGATTGTTGAACTTGTAAAAAAAAATTTTCATTGAAGTTATGGATTAATTTGGATTGACTTGATATCCTACACGTATAGCAGTCACAGAGGTGTGCAGCTCAGATCTCACTTCAAGAAAGAACTCACTGTCCAACTGCATGGACCGTAGTTACCTGACAACCTCCAGTTGTTAACTTTTTCTAGGTTCACCTCAGCTTTCAAGCTAAAGTTACACTATTCTAAAGGCAAACCCTCTCCCCCATGCCCATCCCCAGCTAAAGACTGAGCCAGGGAATAAGGACCTGCTTGATATTGGGATGGTAGAAATATTGTCAGACCTGCA